GTCAGTTTATTGCCTTATTATAAGGGAAGCCTGCACAGGAGACCCATGGACATTTTACTCCACTACAGTGGGCATTATAGGGTTTGGTGGAAGGGTGGTAAAGTGAAAGCAACAAGAGGCATCTGGATGAACACAAAGCAAGACAGGGCTGTGTGGCAGGCCCACATCAGGTCTGAACTGCTAGGTGGATCAGGCTCCTACTTCCAGGAAACCATAGTTAGGACACAGTGCTAAAAGCTCTGCATCAGATAAATTGAGAAATCTTATTGAGATCTCAAATAAAAGAGTCATTAGGATGTTTTGTATCTGCATGGTGGGTGTGGGGTCCCCCCCCCACAACATTCTGGCTTTATCTGGATCTATCATTTTGGCCTGAGGTGTGACAGGTTGAATAGTGACTTTCCCATACAAATCTGATGTTTGCTTTCACAGAAGCCAATCATGCTAAGATCTATGAAAAAAAAAAAAAAAAAAAAAAAACCCAGGCAAAAAGAACAGCAACTGAGTCTGATTACTTTAGGAGCAGACAGGAAGTAATCAAGGCTAGAACAGCAGGAGAAAGACATCAGAGGCCATCTAAAGCAGGCTTGTGTAATCCCTACTTGGAACCTGTATTGCAGATACAAGGAAGTAACTGACTAGAAGTATGATCTGGAATATATGAACGGTCACTCCAGGGAAGGCAATGTGATGAGACGGGGGTAAGGGGGACTTACATCAGGAGTTTAACACAGCAGTCAGGGTCAGAACTACAGTGATAAAATGCAGATTTGAAAAGACAGAGATGACATAAACCACGAAAGCACTGAACATATGGTGTTGGCCAAGAGAACAATCAAGAATGACACAGGTTTTGTGACCTAATCAATTAGACAAGGTTATTTATACCACTGAAAAGCAGAAGACAGGGTAACGTGGTGTTTCAAACTTACGGAGTTTGAATTGCCCATGGAACACCCATGCAGAGACTGAGTAGACAGCTGGGTTTCAGACGCTATCTACTCTGGGATGCAAGTTCAGAAATATAAGCAAAGATCAAGCTCAGGTCTCCTAGGTCATCCAGAGATCCCAATTCAATAGTGCAGAGGAACTGAGGCTGATGCCTGGAATAGCCAACATTTAGACAGGTATTCTGCTAAGACTCAAATAAGGTATCTATCTGGGTCTATTTGGGGCAAGAAGCTCCTTGGTTCCTAAGAAAATGCACAGGTGGTTCTCTGCTCAGAAATGAAGCAACATGGACAAAGGACCACGCCCGGGGGTGAAAACCTGGATCCAGCAGTGTCAGGCCCTATCTCATCCATACCTCTTCTATACACAGCACACTTTCACTCATTGTCCAATTTTATCAAAAAAGGAGATTTATTAGGGTGATGTGACATAATACATAAAGCACAGGTCTGTGGCACAAACTAGATGAGGCCACTGGTAGGACATCTTTTCAAAAATGAGCCAAATGTACAATTACGTAGCTTCCCCACAAATCCTTATCACCAATGGCTACGGAATCAAATCAACTCAATATTCTTTTTTCTTTTTGGGTACTGGGGATTAAATCGGGGGCAGTCTTCCACTAAGCTATACCTCAGCCCCGACTCCTTTTCTTTTCTTTTTTCTTTTTTTTTTTTTTTTTTGAGGTAGAATCTTTTTTTTTCTTTAGTATTTATTTTTTAGGTGTAGATGGGCACAACACAATGCCTTTATTTTTATGTGGTTCTGAGGATTGAACCCAGGTCCCACCCGTGCTGGGCGAGGGCTCTACCGCTGAGCCACAATCCCAGCCCCGAGGCAGGATCTTTTTAAGTTGCAGAAGCTGGCCTATTGCCTCAGTCTCCCAAGTAGCTGGGATTACAGGCATAGGCCACCACACCCAGCAAGTTCAATAATAATACATTGAACACTCACTTCAGCTTATCATAGAAGATCTCCTAAATGCAACTCTCTCTCTTCTGGCAGAAGAGATATTTCATTTAGAAAATCTACAAATGGAGTCTTATGCTCATCTGACAGTCTCACACCTGCCCAACAAACTCAGATGCATGGACCAGGCAAGAACTAACCAATCCCATACTTGCTGACAGAGAATTCCTAGAAAGGCTCTACAGTCACGACAAACCTTGACAGCACCATGAGGAAGAGAGGACTGTGCCAAGATAGGGGAGAAGCTAAAAGAAATTGAACCTAAATTCTTCATCAGGAGTGTCCAGAGTGGCCTTGGTTCTCCCTGCTGGACGAGGTCTGCAAAACCTTTGGCTCTTCTTTCTGAAGGCCTCACCTACAGGCTGCACTTGAGCTGAACGGGCAGCAGCCCTGAGAGCCCGCAAGGACTCTTGCCACTCGGCCTCCATCTGGGCCCTGTAGTCCCCAAACAAGGAGTGCATCAGCTGCCTCTTCCGAGGCAGAGGAGTTCTTTGACTCCGTAGAGTTCGGATTGCACCAATGGCCTGCTCTTCTGCAGATAAAAACAAAGGACAAGGGAGTGGGGTTGTGGCTCAGTGATAGAGAGCTTGCCTTGCACATTTGAGGCACCGAGTTCTATCCCCAGCACCACATAAAAATAAAGGTATTGTGCCCATCTACAACCAAAAAAAATATTAAAAACACACAAACGACTAGTAACTCCTACTGTCCTATCGCAAAAACAATTACATCCCCTTGCAGAACCACTGTCACTATCACATCCCCCCAACTATATGTGAAGGACCCTCACTCTGTTTTGGGGTAGGTCTCTGCATCTTGAGGCCCAGCTCCAGCTGCTCCACACACCAGGCCAGTTCCCGGGCCAGCTGCTCCGCCTGTGATGAATCGTTACAAAAGGCACTGGGACAACCCCCACCAAGCCACACCCCATTTCCCGCCAGGCCTTAACCACCCTCGCCCCCAGATCTTCGACCACACCACTCGCAGACTCGCTCCCAGGTCACCGGAGAACCCTTCCTTGCCTGGGCCTCGGAGCTTAGGGGAGACTCCTCTGCGGCAGGCTTCTGGGAGGTCTTCTCGCCTCCATTCGCCACAGAGACCCTGTTCTGGGTTTTCTTCTTCTTTTGCTTCTTGGAGACAGTCACACCTTCATCGCGGTCGGGGTGCGCTCCGGAGGCGGCCTCAACGCACGTGGGTTGTGCCCAGTGGAGACGGTCGGCGGAAGGACCCGGGGCATCGGGGCCCCGGCCCGGGAGCTGAGGTTTGCGGGACGCGCGAGCGGTACCAGGTTCCAGGGCTGCTGGCACCCTCCGAGCAGGACGTCCTAGAGCCGCCATACGCCGAGCGGCCGCCGAAATTTACATCGGGCCGAGTCCCACGTCGATCTCCGTCCCGGAACCACGCTGGGGACGCAGAGTTCCGCGGCGCGCTCGGAGGTGGGGCGGAGAGTTGGGGAAGGGCGGGGCGAGGCGGACTCCCGGGAGGGGAGGGTTCCCGGGAGAGGCGGGGAGGCGCAGCCCAGGGAACCGGAGGCTCCGGCACCAGTGTCGGCGGGTCTTGCTCGTGTCCCAGGCACGGTTCTAGAGGGCAGCATAAAACTAAAGAGGGCCTGGGGCTGGGGCTCAGTGGCAGAGCTCTTGCCTGGCGTGTGTGAGGCACTGGGTTCGATTCTCAGCACCACATAGAAATAAATAAAATAAAGGTCCGTCAACAACTAAAAAAAAAAAAAAAAAAAACTACAGGGAATGTCCTCACAAAGCACACCTGTCAGTGGTGAGGAAAAAAAGTAGGCAAACAAAGTTGGCACAGCGCTACCTCGTGGGTAGCTTCAGAGGGTCAATAGACCTTTGGTGGAGAAAAGCGCAGTACAGGACAAAGGCTTGGGCGCGTTGGTGTTGCAGGTGGCATAGTCAGATCAGGGGAGAGGGAGGGAAGGTCCAGCTCCTGTAGGGCCCTGTACACGAGTCAGGAGTTTGCTTTCATTCTAAGAATGGGACAGTCATTGTGAATCATGGGCGATGTGACCTTACTCAGGTGTGTGCCTGGGAGATGAAAGGGCCAGATGAGGTGGAGCAGCCTCAGGACAGAGGAAAGAGCCCAGAGCACTTGCTGGTGGGCTTGGTGTGGCCCTAAGGGAGGCTGGGGAGTAAGTGGAGGAGGCTAGCCCTATCCCACAACCTAACACTGGGCCACCATCTCCGCGGGGCCTCACAATGGAGAGCAAATACCTAAGGGCTTTGGTGAGCTTATTCCAATTCTTTGCCATTATTAGCAATGTTCTTGTGTGTCTCCTATGTGAAAGAATTTTTTCTAAAATTTTTGTTAGAATTGTATTAGTTCTGTAGAGCATTCTGGGGAAAATTAAATGTCCTTAATTGTTGAGAGCCATAGTTTAGTCGGAATGACGCCTGGCATTTTGCTAGAGGGAATGGTTGAAAGGTGACCCTGCTCTGGGATTAGGGAGGATCCTCCAGGAATAGGGCGGTTCCCGGATTAGGGCGGATCCTGTTGCCTCGGTGCCCTATACTTTGGAGTCCCCAGTTGAGTCTCACTGGGTTCTGAGAGAATTGGCGCATGGAGCCCGGTGGAGCCAGTGTATTCCCRGGAAGTGTGTGTAGAGGGCCGATGAGAGTTCGGGAATAAAGGTTGCTGTTTGAACCTACAAGGCTGTGTGGTGGCTCCGTTATTTTGTGCCCAGCCAGACTGCGGCACTTAATTAGCTAATTAATTAAATGTCCTTTAATAAATAGTGATGATAACTTTATAAAGGTCTTTCACACATTGGGGGGGGGGGTTGCTGGGGCTTGAACCCAGGGCCTTGTGCATGTAAGGCAAACACTCTACTAACTGAGCTATATCCCCAGCCCCCTCACACATTTTTTTGTTAATGATTCCTGAATTTGGTTGTTATTGTTTTTGGGGGGATACCAGGTATTGTACTCAGGGGCACTCAACCACTAAGCCACATCCCCAGCCCAATCTTTGYTTTTTGTTAGAGACAGGGTGCCACTGAGTTACTTAGTGCCTCACCTTTGCTGAGGCTGGCTTTGAACACATGATCCTCCTGCCTCAGCCTTCTGAGCTGCTGGGATTACAGGCTTGCRCCAATGAGCCCAGCCTGGATTTATTTTTCACTGTTACCAGTATTCAAATGTGGACACACATATCTCTATTACTGTGGTATAACAAGAAAAGAATCTGGTCTTTGTCCTGGGTTACTGGCCCACGTTTCCTCCCCAGCCTTCTGTGGTACCTGTCTGAGATTCCATCTCAGAGGAGGCTGGGCTCAGGCTCCCTTACCTCTGGGACTTGAGCTCTGGAGAGCCCATACTGGGCACCCACCCCACCACTCCTGGACACAAGAGAGCAGGTGGCCTCCCAGATCGGCTCCCAGATTGGAGGCTGAGGCAGTTTGAGGCCAGTCTGGGGATGGAGCTGAGTAGTAGAGTGCTCCTGCGTTCAATCCCTAAGACTGTGGGGAAAAAAGAAATGAGGATTTCATATAATTTGCATATAATTTAGACACAACCTCCTTTGATAATAATCTCTAGATTACTTAAAATACCTAATACAATGTAAATGCTACCTAAATAGTTATTATACAGTATTATTTAGAGAATAACAACAACAACAAAAGGCACATGTTCAATAGGGAGGCAATTCTGAAAAAGTTTCAATCAATTTGAATTCACTGTGCAACCTACAGACATGGAAAGCCAATTCATTCCAATACATTTGCATTTCTAAGCATTTTATACCTTTTGTTTTTATTATGGAGGATATTTCAGTTTTTAATTATGTTATCTGGTTGATTATTGCTGGTGGAAAAAATGATATTGATCATTTTTAACTTCAGAAGATAAATGACTTTGTCTTTAGTAATAATAAAATAAGGCTTTTAAACACACACACACACACACACACACACACACACTTTATTCTGGCGCCCAGAGATTTAAGAATGAAGTGTTTACTTTTCATTGCTTATAGCCTGTAATCTTCCAGTTGATGTCTTTTTTATATTTAAAAAGTCAGAGTAAACTTCACAGCTCTTTTTTTTTTTTTTTTTTTGGTGAGACTTTGTATTATTCACTCCCAATTTTGGTAGTTTAATATTCTGGAAAATGAACATGCTAAAATATTCATATTCTTTATGTGAATAATATGAATTCAACAGTATTTTAATCTTCGTAAATGTTTCACAAAAATGCTCATGAAAATGCATCATCTAACCTGGCTTGGTGGCTCACACGTGTAATCCCAGCGACAGGGAAAGAAGATGGCAAGTACAAGGTCAGCCTCAGCAATTTAGAGAAACCCTCAGTTTGGCGAGACCCTGTGGGAGGAAGAGAAGAGTATATATCATCTACTGAACSAACTTGAGTCTCTCCGTGTATTTACATATTTCTTCCAGTGACGGCTTTGCTTGCGCGCTTTTTGGGTGTCGCCCCCGTACTGGGGATCGAACCCGGGCCGTCGCGCAGGCTAGTCCCAACCCTCTTTACGTCAGGACACAGTCTGATCCAACTCTGGRGGCCTGTGTACGGGTTCTCTCTGGCTCGGCCCACCCGAACCGCCGAGGTCGGTGGCGSCCCGGGTTCACCCTGGCAGAGTTCCGGTCCCGCGCTGCGTCACCGAGTCTCCTCCCCCTCCCGCCGTCCGGAGCGGCTACGCCATCGGGGCGGGGCTTCCGAGGGAAGTTGAGGGCGGGACTTTGAGTCCTCAGAGCCCGGGCTCCGGCGCTGGGTGCCGCACGATGCTACCCAGCTGGACGCGAACCCCGAGGGAGGTGAGYTCGCTGGGCGGAGCCTTTGCTTCGGTGTCCCCGGAGTCCCGTGACGGGCGTGGGGGTGGGGGGACCTAGCGGCGCTGGCAGAGGGACCCGGACCTCGGGAGGTGCGCGGCCGCGCGGGGGACTGTGGGAGTGCGGGCGCGGGGAAGGGTCGGCTCGGCCTAGTTTMGGGTCCTGGCCTCGGCGGGATCTGAGGGGCATCTTCAGGTGGGGTGTGCCGCGTCAGGCCCAGCGGAGACTGCCCGGGAGCCGAGGCGTTTTCGAGTGGCCAGGCGCGCGCGAGTGGGGCGGWGCGAGAGAAGGTGTGAGGCTGAGCGGTGCCCGGGACTCCCGGGTGGCGGGGGGACTGGGGGACTCTCGGTGACGTCAGAGGTGCGCAGGGCCCGGGCGGGGCGGGATTCGCTCCTCTCCCGGCGGCCTTCCCAGGTGGCCCCTCGGTAATGGGCGTCCTCTCCAGGTGGAGAGACCTCTGGGGAGGGAGGAGAATTTGGAACTGTTATTGTGGGAGAAGGGACTGGGGCATCGGCCAGGGCCCATCCTGCGGTTCCTGCTGCCAGAACGTCTCTGCTGTGTCTTCAAGTGTCAGATTCAGCCTTTAGCCAGGAGAACCCGCTGCCCAGCTCTTTCAGGTAGTTGGCAGAATCCGTTGCTTTGTGATTGTCATATACAGGTTCGTCGTTTCTGTGCTGCCTGACAGGCAGAGCAGCCCATGGCTCCTGGAACGAGCCGTGTACATCTGGCAGCTAGCTTTGGCTGTGGTTAGATTGGGTCCACCCTGGTAATCCATGCCGTAACCTTAGTTCTTTATGCAATAAAGTCCCTTGTGCTATTTAGTGCAGGATATCTACAGGGTCTTGGAAGTAGGATGTGAACATGGGGAAAGAGTGTTCTGCCTAACACAGATGAAGCGCATGTCTAGGGAACATCCCACTGAGAATAAACAGAGAAAAGCAACGTGTAAAATTAGTGCCAGACTAGTTTGGTACCATTTGTAATTTTTTTAAAACAGGAAAAAAAAGTGCATACGTGTATTTGCTTGTGTAAGCCTAGAATAATCTGGAAGGACATTTCAAAGTGGAAAGGAGAACCAAGTGACTGGGACATTTTTTAACTTTTTCTTTAAACCTTTTAAATTTTGAGCTATGTGACTCAAAACTCCTATTCAGAACAATGATGAGAATTCAAGGTAATTTAAAATAAAATGTACTGAATAAATGTTGGAGATGATTTAAATTCCCCCATGAATGGGAAGAGTGGAAATTCCTTCCAAGGAATCTGGGCATCTGCTCCCAGGGCAGGCAGACACACCATCACTGACAGTCTTATAACTCCCTCTCAAGTTTCCTGCTGTGCATCTACTACTGAATGGATGGGAACCTTAGTGTATTCCCTGCTCTGAGTCTCATCTTACACCATCCTTCTGCACACACTTCCAAGTTAATCTTTTGAGACATTTTGGTTTTTTGTCTCCTGATTTAGAAATGCAGCCAAGGCCTTACTGCATCAGCCAACCAGTGCCTCCTAACAGTCTGTCCCCAGTGACATCCCTTGAGCTCTGTCCTTACCTCCTTGTCTTCTCTCATAAGCTTTGTCTTTAAACTTGCTCTCTGGCCTCCTCACTCTGTTGTGCGTTCCTCTGTGATCTCAACCCAGCAGCCCTGGGTGATGTCTGCTGTCATCCCTACTCCTTGCACCTTTCTCCTGCCACCCTTCTTCAGAGAAGCCCTCTCTCAGATCCTCTCCAGGTCCCCTTGACTGCACCTCACCAATATCCCCTTGACTCTATCTAAATCCAATGTGGAACAGAATATCCCTTCTTCCAGGAAAGGCAGAAAAGAATACCATTGTCAAGGACAGAGTTTATGCTTTTTCACAGAATAGTGAGAGGCTGCTCCCCTGTTATCCTCTAAACACCTGCAGCCTTCAAAGGCCTGTATGCTGCATAGCCTCACTGAGTGCAGGCAACAACCCAACTGCAAGGCCCATGGGACCCATTACAGTGCCTTTTCCCGGCTCCCTCATTTTTCTGTCTATACACTAGCTGCCCCACTGTTCCTCTGACGACATGCATGCCCCTGCCCTCTTCAGTCTTTGCATTCACATTGCCTCTGCCTGGGACTTCTCTTCCCCAGTGTCACAATACTCCATCTCTCACCTTTAGGTCACTTTCTTGGTGAGGATTTCCTGACAACCCTAGTTAAAATGTCCCTGTCTTCCCTGTTACCGCTAACCAGAGCAGTTGTTTTATTTCACTGATGCATTTGCTGTGATGATATCTTAGTGAGTTTTATGAGGGCATTGTTTGCTGTTGTGTTCCACATAAAACCCCAGAACAGATTCTAGCATATAGTGATGTTCAGAAATCCTGAAAAAGAGTATCCTAGAGGAGAAATCGAGGTCATATGTTGACATTTTCCAATTGAGTTTCTACCAACTTTTTCTGTCTGCCTTCTCTACTTCTGAGGGGCAGGGAATCAGCAGTATCTATTGGGAGTGCAGTGTCAGCAAGGAGATAGTTTGTCAAGCCCCACATCCTGGTGGGCCTCTAGGCCTGTTGGGGGCAGTGGGTGTGGTAATTTAGTAATTCAGTAATTTAGTCCATGTGAGAAGCCTGTGTGTCTCCAGGTGGGAGTGTCCCATCTCCTGCCCAGAGAGAGTGATTAGGACTGAAAATGAGCCCAAGTTTGAATATCTTCACAGAATAGGGGGTGTTACTGCCTCCTAACAGACTTGCTCAGGAAGTGAAGTGAACCTTGGAATGCCAACAGGGAAAGGGAACTGAGAGAATTGAGCAAGATCAGTGAGTGAAGTGGGAGGACATCCCAGGTAGATGGAGATGGGAATACCCCGTGGCTGTTGCTGAGTGCATCTGGGACAACCCAACCGCTAGGATTTGTAGGCACTGGCACATAATGATCATATGTATGTCTATAGCACAGGCTGCCCCTGGCCACTCAATCTTGGGTCTGCTGCTTCCCTGCAATAGATAGGTCTTATGCATTCACCTTTATGGCATTGTGTCAGGAAGTAGGCTCTGTGACTATTGCTCTCCTCCTATAATGGTGGGCCTGAGCCCTGTAGGGAAATGCCTTCAGAGTACAAGGACTCATGCAACCCTGGCTCATGATTCTGTGTCCGTATGGCTGACTGTCTCTCCTCTTGGGTCTAGAATCAGGGAACATAGCATTAGTCTCTGATGCCTGGCAACCTCAGGCCCTTTTCAGGTCTCTGGCTGCAGGGGTAGAGTAAGAGACTTCTGCCTGGTGAGAGGGTGGATCCCTGTAGCTGACATCTTTGCACACTCACCTCTGTCCTTGCCGGTTTTCAGATTCCAGCTATTTCCAGCCTCAGAACTTGCCTCTAGGAGGCAGAAATGGAGCCCACAGCTTCAGGACCATCCCCTTGGACCCCTGTATCACAGACCTGTGTGAGTGATACTCCTCCTGTGACCCACCCTGGTTCTTTAGTCTTTGGGCTCCTCCACTTTGGCATTAATGAGCTGGAAGCCATACACCCTCACCATTAGCAACCAGGTACTGGGAACATATTTCCTACTGGTGTCCTCATTCTGGGGAGATGATGTCCATGTCATCCTATTCTCACCTCTAGGAGCATCATGCCTCATGGACTCAAGGGGCTGAGGCTGACCATCAGAAAGTAAGTTGACCTGGCCTGGCCCCTGGTGTCCTGAACAGGCTTCTGGCTTCTTTCTTGAGACAGAGGGCTATAACATGATGGTTATCAGAGTCCTTTGCTGTCTGCTGTAGCCCTGACCCCTTCCAAGCCCAGTGACCAGACTGGTGGCAGTCTCTGCCTCAGGATTCTTTCCTATACCTTCCTGGTGGTATTCACACTGCCCAGCTGCTCCTATTGCCCTAAGAACTCTTTTAGAGAGCACTTTGGGGGGAAAACTTTTTTTTTGGGGGGGGGGACAGCTCCCTCATGGATCTTTTGCTTCCTTTGTTTGGGTCAGTCAGTGGCTATGTTACTCTGGCAAGACCCTGGGTGGATGGGGATGGTTAGGCTAAGGGTATACGTGTGTAGGAGAGTCCTGCACATGTGGAAGAGAACAGATTCTAAAAAGAAGTGAAGAGCAGGTAGAGAATGGTCCCCAGAAGTGGCCCCAAGGAGCAGGCCTGCTCATCAGCCTGAGCAGAGGTAGAATGTTAAGCAGACTGCCAAGGATCCCTGCTGGGAGTGGTGAGAAGGGAGTGGTGAGAGAATCCCAGAGCCTTGCTCTGCACCTTGGTGGGGGAGAGATAGGCTAATGGGGGTTCATGTTTTAAAAGCCACTGTGGAGCCATCAGAATAGGCAACCCCAAACACTTGCTCCTCTACGTAAATATTCAAAAAGCAGAAACTGTCAGAAATCTAGAAAATTGTTAAACCTTGACAACAACCAAACAATGAATCAAGAAAAAGGCAACTTTAAGGGCTGGGGTATATAGCTCAGTTAGTAGAGTGCTTGCCTTGCATGCATAATGCCCTGGGTTTGATCTTCAGGACCACAAAAAAAGAAAAAAAAGAGAAAGGCAATTTTAAAATGGTAGGAAGGTTTTGTGGTACTCTTAGTTGCCTGTGTCTCAACCTGTTCCTGGCATTTTTAAAGAAGGCAGCTTGTGTTCTCATCTTGGGACCATGGTCTCTTGTTTCAGGGTGTGTAATAAATAGATCTTACTTAAGAATTGTTGTTTTKGGGCTGGGGATGTGGCTCAAGCAGTAGCGCACTCACTTGGCATGCGTGGGGCCCTGGGTTCAATCCTCAACACCATATAAAAATAAAATAAAGATATTGTATCCACCTAAAACTAAAAAATA